CTGACTATATCCAGCTGAGAGTTAATATTAGCCAAGGGTTTAGTGGCATGAAGAACGAGACAAATTCAACACTCAGAGCAGCAAAAGATAACAGTTGAATTCAATGAGTTCTGTATCCAGTCATTATCTGATGTGMAAGTGTTCTGTCACCTAAAGAATAAATCCACTTGAAGATAGTGATGAAGTACTGGTAGAAAACCAAGAAATGTTAAGACATATAGCCAGAAAAATCTAGTTGTATTTCATCTAGTACTGATTCAGTTGAGATAGTGACAAAGGATGAACTCCTAACTGAAGAATGTTGCAAGATAGGTTTGTATATTCTGTGTTTTCCTTAAAGGTGAAAGACWCTGTGCTGTAAGTATGGCTGTTAGGCTTCAGTATTCCACTGCCTTTTATAAAATGTGTTTCCTGAGAGCAAGAAGATTTTTTTTGGAATCATATGAGCCAGAGTATGAACATTCCATGTCTGAAAACAGCAGTGTTGGTGCTTGAGTTTATTAGAGATAAATAAAATTGGGCAGAGAATCATAAATGCTGCMTATTTGGACTATGGGTAAGATCACTTCATGGGCCAAATCATACAACTCCAGACATAATAGCATGTTATTTATTAACATATTGAATAATATAGTTGTATTTCTTATGTTCTGTAACTGCTATATTTCTTTTGCCTCAAAAGCGTGCCATGAAAGAGCATTCTGTTATTACACTAGAGAAAAGAAACCTTTCAGAAATGTTGATTGTTGTAACCACAGCCTGATTAGGACTAAATATGTTTGAGAATAATCAATTGAAAAGGTCCTTAATGGGTTTTTCTAGGAAGAAAATTGCTTTCTTATTCAAAATGAGTCTCAAATATGCACATGTTGTTTCTGCTAAAGGTGCAGTGAGAGGCTACTGTAGTAATAATTGTGTGTAACTGCACAGATTAGTCTTATTCTGTGATCAGACCATTGCATGACCATAGCTTTAATTTGTCACTGTCAAAAGTCTAAAACACAGAAATGGTCTTCTTAAATGAGCTCTGTCTGTCCTAATCTGCGTTGGCTGTAATGAACTATAAGAATGTGTAAAGCTGGTCACCCATCCAACGGGGCAGCCAACTGCACTAGCATTTTATTCCTGCTTGATACTGGTGAAGAGGTTTTGTCTCCTCTGAAAGGAGAAACAGATGCTTTTTCACCTCATGCTCTGAGGCATCTCCTATCAGTGATTCCAGCTGTCATGATTTGGCTGATGCTAGATTATTGGTGTTCTCCAGTGTATTTTTCTTAGTGCGTTTTCCTGGAGAATAAAATACTCTTAAGAATGAACCAGCTAGGAAATGCCACTGCAGTTAGAATTTGGAGAAATGTCCTTAAGACAACTGAGCAATGGGAGATGGAACACATAATATATTCTTATTCCATCACTATTGGAAGATAGAGATTTTAGCCATTGAGTAGAGGCCAGGTGAGTGCTGTTCTCTGGTYTTCAGTCGGGCAATTCACTTTGATGAGGACTCATTTAGTGTCAGATGAAGCTGCTGTGGTTTCATTGCATTTGAGGGATAGGTCCCAATAGTTCACACTTGCCCAGTGTTTTTGTTGRTGGTTCTCAGACTCGGGATCACCCCTGAACTCTTGTGTTCATGGAAGGTGCTGTTGAGACCATGTTCTTCAAGGTGGCAGCTCAGCCGGCTGGGTAAGAGCTCTGTCTGCAGCGCGGCCTCTTTTCCATCAGTAGAAAACTGCATGGAGATGGAGGGGTTCGGAGAATCTACTTAATTATCTGCCCTCCKCATGAAACTGTAGGGCTGAAAATTAATTGGGCAAATCATGTCAGCCTTGGACCTAGCCAGAGCAAGGACCAGACTGGGTGCCACAAATAATATTGAAATTCAGACATGCSTTTTTCCTACTCTGTCAAGACTTCTTCCGCTCTCATTTGCATTTAATGGGCACAGCCTTAGAAATATTAGAGTGAAAAGACAAGACACCTTCAGTCCCTCAGCGATTAAATGTTCATTAATGAATCTGTATCTTGTCCTAATTCACTGTTGCCATGCATGAGCAGAAGCTGAATGTATCATCTGGCTTGTTATGATAGTGTTTTAAAGAAATGTCACATCTGCTTTTTAAGTTATTTTTTTCTCTTCAGTTTCTGAGTGCAGATGAAGTATAATGCTTGGCTACAGCACTTGGAAGGAGACACTGCAGTGGGGAGATCAGAGCAAGGGAAAATTTCAAGCCATTTCAAGGTTGCTACACACTCTTAAGCTGTACAGAGGAGAGCAGCAATAAAAATCACTTAGTTGATCAGCTTGAAGAGCATGTCTGGCTGGTGAGGTTAGCATTTAGTCAGTGAGGTGCAGTACTGCACGTTGTTAGCTGTAGGTGTTGCTCAGTTCATGGAAATGCTTAGTGTGTGCTTCACATATGGTGTAATTCACTTTGCACATAGTTCTCGCAATCRGTATCCAGATCACTCGTTTCTGCTGATATATTTAAAATATGCAGAAAAGGCAGAATTCCCAGTAGACAAGAGTTTGTTCATGTTTTATCTTAGATGCAGTAAATAAGCAACAAGTGGCACTGACAACAAAAGAAGCAGAATCAGCTGTTAATCTTGAAATAAGATAGCACTTGTAGAGATCTTTAGGTTCACTTGGTGTTTAAGCAACACCTGTATGCGATTGCACAGGGAGGCAAATTGCTGTGGGRATCCCAAGTGTTGCATATGACTCAYCAGCAAGTCCAGAGGATGGGAATGGAGAAAAAATAGGGGTCAAATCAGAGAGACTTGCAGGGCAGTGGAGCTGGAGCAGTTTCTACCAGCTGGAGCCTGGGGCAGAAATGAACCCAGCGCGAGGCTTGTGTCGCTGTTACAGATTTAGACATCAAGTTTGCTGTGCCAGCTTCTGGTGTGCTTTGCACAGACTTGTCCATCTCCTATCCCTTCTCACTTTGCTGGAGTAATGGTCAGTTTTCCCAGATGGCAAAATATGGGTAGAAWATTTTCCTTTCAGTTAATAAAATCCTGCCATTAAGCAAATTGAACAGAGCACTTCAGATACAACATACYTTTCAGTTCATCGGTACTGTTTGCAAGGATCTTAAAGCAATTTTTTCACATAGTTTTCAATCATTTCTATAATCAGGAATAAAACACAGTAGCTTTAATTATTATGTTATTTATATATTTTTCTAATGCTAATTCTGCAAAGATTTTTATTTTCTTGTAATGTATTTTTTGTTGGCTTTAAAATGTGTTCTAAAATGTTTTTCCCATATTCAAATTAAGGGTCAAATTCAAAATTAAAGGTTGTAATTTATCTATTGTTATTACTGTGTATCTGTAGGTGTTTTATGGCCCTAGAATTTACAAGATATAATTAAGGAAAAATTCTGAACAAAGATAATAGGCTATAGAAAACTAGATATTGCAAGACAGATCCAACTAACCAATATATAAGACTGAGTGGATGATGAGCAAAAATATTGGATGGTTTGCACAGATCAACTATATGTACAGATAACAGCCAGTTGTTTGCATCAGACACAATTTGCCAGATAGATTTAAATTTAACTTTTTTAAAWTATTGCTGCAGCTGCTGAGGAATATGACATAAAGCATGGTGATCTGCAATTCTCCTCTTTAAATAGAAAACAGGTATTTTAATTGCAATTCTTTGCATGCTCAGATTATTGTTGCTATTGGTATTCAAAGTAAATGCCCAAATCCTAATGGGTTTAAAAGCGCATGTTAGTCAGGTGGAACTTTGACTGTCAGAGGGTTGCAAGTTAATGATTTACAAGGAATTCATTTATTCCTTCTGGGAAGCTGTGAGGACTATTATTTGATCTTAAAGTCCTTCTAGGTTACCATCTATTAGCTTTTTGCCCTGATGAATATCCAAGCGTGTGGGTTTACCATAGGCGATGCTGTTGATGTAATGCTGCACTCTGGAGACAAGTGGGTGCTGTTAAATATCTGCRTGTCAAACGTGAGGGGAGCTGACCCTGCAGTGATTTATACACCCGAGAGCCCATTCCAGGCAGTGGGAAAGGTCTCTGTTGGGGAACTTCTCCYGATGCTGCCGGGGTTCAGGCTGCGTTCCTGGTACTTGCTCTTGGAGCCTGTGCTCACACAGCCCCTGAAATCCCAAAATGCGGCTGTTCCTCCATGTCCATCTGCCCTGGAGAGGCCTGTGGGTCCTRCCCCTGCTCCAGATGGACAGGGCTGATAGTCCGGTGTCTTCTTGCCTTTGATGACAATGTCTGGCTGCTGTTTCAACCCCATTCAAGTATGGGCACTAACTTCCCAGAGGGTAGTACAGACTTGAGGGAAGCCTTGAGRGTTATGAGTTTAAACTGCATTATGATGATCCAAATCAAGGCGAGTCCCTGGTTGTTGAGGACCAACAGATGCAGTCAAATGAGTTTGAAAAAGATTATATTCAACAAATTTTAACTTAAAGAGCTGGTCTGTGCAGCAGATGAGTTCTTACAACTAAACTATTTGGTCTTTATCTCATTCTTAGTCCCAGCCCAGGAGTAAAAGCATCATTAGAAAAAAACAAGGAAAAAGTAATAGTCAAAAAGCAAGAAAGCAAAGAGGGAATCTTTCTRTTTCCTTTGCACTACACTTCRCAAGGCMTCCAAATGACATCAATGTGTTCCTTGCTGTGGAGTAATATTTGAAAAATCAGGGCAGGCGGTGTATATGAAATTGCCTTTGGAGAATATTGACTTGCCTTAATTTACTTATATCTGTATTGAGATGGGGAAAATGAACTTCATGTGCTAATTCCCCAAAGGCCTCAAAAATTGCAATTTAGTTTTTAATTTGTACGTTAATATAAATTTTTAGCRCATTATTTTCAGAGAACATTGTTTTTTAATTATATAGCTAATAAAATACAAGTACAAAGCAAAACTACTGGAAATAATGATCAATAATATTTCCTTTGAATTTTTTATAATTTCTCCAGGTAAAATATTTAAATCTAAATGTGTGAAGYTGCTAAAGCATGGACAGAAAAATGGATGATATCAGTGCTGAAAAGGTAAGCAGGTAGATTGAAGTAGGATTTAAAAAAAAAAAAATTGGGTGAAAACATACCAACATATTTATCACATCTGCTGCTCTGCAGAGTCTGTTATTCTCATTTCTCCTTTAATGTAACAAACAATGCTTATGTTGAGCAAATCTAGTACATTTAGAAAGAGTGAAAGGTTGAAATCTAAAAAACGAGAAAACTAGGAGTTTATATGTAAAAGAATATGTATTTAARCAAACCATCCTTTCTGCAATTGCAAGATCATATTTATTGCTTATGTTGCACAGAAAACAATCCACTACAGTCACTTSTCATAACATGATGTCTGGGCCATCCAGGTGTTTAGTCTAGGGACTTTAGAGGTACTAAATTGAATACTGGAGGACCTGGAAGGACATACAAATGGTTCTTTAAATACTCAGAAATGCTGTCATATTGTCAAGTTTTTTGCCACAAGTTCATATGCMGTCAGCACCTGTGGAAAAGATGGGAATTGAACTTTGCCATGCAGGTAATGCAATTCAGCTGAAAGCAATGTGACTTTCCAGAGCTCTGCAAGAGGTGTCCTAATGATGGAGCTCCTTCATGAATTTTGAAACAGAGGTTTTAAGCAATTTGTAGGTATAATGATGATAGTTTATAAGTATAAYACTATGAATATTTTTTGGTGAAACTCCTTCCTCTAGGGAAATTTTTGCAAATTTGCTTTTGCAGATTCACTTAGGACTTCTGGGGAATGGACAGTTCCATTTCAGTGGAGCTGTCTGCTAGGAAATCACTTTATTTTTCTGCTTTCCTTACTTGGCCAAGTCAAGACAATTCAAGTTTGTCTCTTGTGTGGTTCAGCTTTTACCTCAGACGTCATCACTGCACTAGACTTTCTATCCTATACTTTCTTATTCTCTGCTAGCTAAAATACTGTGGCACCTCATGGGAAAGGTACTATACTGAGAGTGCCTGATTCCTAGGAAAAAGGGGGATCAAGGTATCCAWAGCACATCCCCTATCTCTTGGTTGTATTCACAAAAAGAAACCAAATGGATTTGGAAAAAAAGAAAGATTGGGGTGCAGAAAAAGAAAGTATATCTACCATTTTTACATGTACTGGAGAGATGCTTCAGAAGAGATAATATTTTGTCACAAACTTATCTGAATGCATTTGAGGGAGAGGTGCATGAAAGTATGAAACTTGTCTCCTCCTTTGCAAAAAAGACACTAGTTAGGACCGAATGGAAGCCCTGGGGAGGCATGGACACCATCGAGAGCTCCCTCTTTACTTTGCACTGACTGAGGAGCAGATGGTCTCAGGATGGCAAATTCTGGCATAGTTGCCTTGCTAGTCCTGTTCAGGACTAGATCTCTATGCAGACTTTGAAAATCAATGATAATAGCAGATATCATAAACATTTTATATGTTAAAATCTGTACTTGTTCTAGAAAATGTTTTCTCTCCAAGGGAAGGATGGAGTAGAAGCACATCAATGTCTTTTTAAATTGTTTGTGGAAAACAAAAACTAAGAGAGTGAACAGTTTGTTCTCAGCTTAAAAGTATTTGCTTTTTATACTAGTGCGGCTTTCGTTGCTGCCTTTAAATACCTGTCTTAATCACTTCTTGCTTAATAATCTCTGATTGCACTTGACTTTTGAGTTCACCTTTGCTGATTAGAAAACCAACTTCATCAAGTCAAAAATAGGAGCCGGGAACAAAATTATCTTGAGGTTAATTTCTTATGTAGAAGGGAAAAGGTGGGGGCAGGCAGACAGGGAGAACCTGAAACCATCCTTGCTSAATACTTAGTGCCTAATAGTTGAACGATGCAAAGACAAGTCCCTGAGAGACCTTCCAGAGATTTAGCTAAGTTTAATAGACCTGGTTTTATACAAGTTCTTCTACACTATATTAATGTAACTTAAATATATGCTTAAAGCCAGTAAGAAGTACTAATTGGGATTTAGGATTAATGGGAGATATTRGACGTGAGAGAGATGGAGATTATTTGGTATTTCTTTTCATAGAGCTAAGTGTTTGCTGGTTTACAAATGCATCCTTTTTTATTCCATGTTCCATGTAGTTCAAGTCATTTGTGTTTTCTTGCTGTTCTTGGGGGTTGTTTGAACATAGTGTAAAGATTTTTTTTCCATCAGCTCCCCATATTTGGTTTTATATTGTTACTGTAAAGATAAACCATAGGAACTGAAAATTATAACATGAGTTTAATAAACATATTTTGGGATATATATCTTTATGATGGATTTCTACTAGGGCTGCTTAAAATTTATTTTGGAATCAAAATTTGCTTTAAGTTATATGAATTTTAAAAGGTATTTTCTCTTAATGTATTTTTCATCAAAACTGAAACMACAAATGCTCATCTGCTTCAAATTTTGTCCTTTATATTTTGAACAATGAAGTATTTATGAATATGCAGTGCCTTTTTGGAGGATATACTCCTGAATTATGCTCTCTGAGCAATATTTGTTCTTAGTGTARTAAGTACTAATATTCTGTTTTTTTATGGTGGTTTGTTCAGCACATCAGAGATGGCTCTCACACACCACCTGGTTATCACCACCTTCAGTAACATATGTACTATATTCTTCTACATTCTACCTTTTCCTCTAGCACCTYCTTGGTTTCTTACAAGCTAAGGCAATAGGGAGCTCAATGATCTGTCTTGGGCTTGGCTTAATGGGCTGAAAAAAATGAAACTGCTTTTCTTGTGGTTTACATGCCAAATTCCTTTAACATATTCAAAAATATATCCATTTAATTTCTTGAATGAGTAATGGAACTGAAATAAAATGGAGGTGACATATTTTCAAGAGCTGGATTTTAAAGGACAAACTGACAGTCAGGAGTCTTCATATTACCAAAAAAAGTGTTTTTCCTTGAACATTCAAAACGTGTTTGAACATATCCTTTAGCAGCTGTGGTGATACTCAAGTAAAGCTTGCTCATAATATGTTAGCAATGTTACTTAACAAAAATATACAGACTATCCATTTCTTTCTTCAGCRGTGGTATAAAATAAAAGAAGAAATCTACCTGACTTAGACTTTGTGCAAAACATTTTTTTTTCCTCCCACTACAAGGAGACATTTTGAAAGAGAATAAATTAGTTTGGGCTAGGGAAAGAAAGCACCCAGCAGCATATATTACAGTGCCTGTAAGTCACTGGTGCATACTATTTTTCTGAAAGTTAATGAAACATATAATTAAAGTTCTTTCTGATGCTTTCTGTGTTTCAGATAGGTTGTATGCACTGTGCAAGCAGAACAGTTATGTAGCACTTCACTACTCAGAATCGAAACAATTAATGTGCTAAGAAACACCCAAAGTTTTAGGTTATTTCTATTTCAAAATGCTTGTATGCAAAGCTATCTCTGATGCTTTCTTTGAGACTATTTGAATTTTAAGGTAGACAATAGTGTCATTTTCTGCTTTCTATTTTTCTTCTTGCTCTATTCTAAGAATGAACAAATAATAATTATTTCAAAATAGACTAAAATAATTTGTGCTGCTTAATATTACTTTTATCAGTAAGTTTCAGCTAAAAAAATTTAACTTCTGAAACTTTATRTAAAGTCTCCTTTTAATAGAATTTTTATGTTAGAAGGGCCATCTTAACATATTAAGGTAGTGCAYACTGTGAAGGATGGAAACAAATTGCATCCCCTCCGATGAATTGACAGATGAGGGAAACAAAACAATGTTTTACAGAGGTCTTCATATATGGTTATAATTTGAGCATTTCTAGAGATTGTCGTAGCGGGAATAAAATSAGCCATATTAAAACCCAGTAGTTTTTGGGAACCAGAATCACTTCACACATGGATGACAAATAAAAAGAATTATCTTRGATGTTGAAAATTTGCTTTAATGATTGCTGCCACTAAAAAAAGAATGTGTGTTAAAAGCTGTGTCTCTTCTAGCAAATCTTTGTGAGTCATGAGCATCAGCAACTGCTTAAAATGTTGTGATCAGATAGATCTATTTCACAGTGAGTAAAGGCTGAGAAGAGCTTGTGATATACATTCAGATATTATAAGGAGAACTACCCAAAAGCCTGTCATGCAAATAGCTGACTCAGCCTGCAGATGGGAGGAGTGTTTGCACATGAATCCCATCAGTCTTGAGCAGGAAWAGAAAAGAGGCCAGGTTTGGAGACAGAGTTTGTTGAAAGTCAGTATTTGCTTCATGCTTTGTAGAGGAGTGTGGTTGATGAAGGGTTATAAAAACAACCTCAAAGAGGCTCTTTGCTTCCTTTAGTTGAGCTTCTTTGATGGTAGCTGKTTTTTTTTTCTTGAGGCTACAGAAGAGTAAATACATGAATAAAAAGACTGTATAAGGGAAACAGGTGAATGAATTTGTCCGTGGAGTCGAGCACAATGACTAACAGAGGCACCAGGTKGTCCTTTAGGAAGGAAGGAGAGAGTCAAAGCTGTCTACCAGAAGTTTTGCACAACACTGTGAGAGCAGGTGGTTTATTTTTCTTTAAGGCCAAAGTTTAGAGTCCTGCATAGTARAAAAGCAGAGATGATTTAGCAACTTGTTTTGGATGGTAGTATGAGTATTTTTAAGCTTTTTGTTCTGCTATGTCACATGCTRTCTCACAATATGTACATTGGATTGCAGGATTTCTAAGTAGTGCCAGCATTTGTACTGACGAGCGCTATTGGGATGGCAGATAAGAAAGAAAAGATTTCCTAAAGTTATGGTCAATTTAAGTCACTTCAATGTAAGAACCTTATGAAGCAGTTTTGTACAACTGCTTTCAATCTACAGCTGCAAATTCTTGGAATGAGTATAAGGCAAGTTGTGTCTTACGTTGTTCAGCCAAGTATTTTTGATGACAGGCATTTATCTAAGTGTTTATAATGTAAGATAGGGGACAATATTAATGAACGCCAGGATGTTTTTAATCAGTTAGTCCTACTAGGCAGGGCAGTGAATCTTGATGCCAAATGGGCCACATCTCATTAGAGATATTACTGTTTCCCAGTCT